AAAGTCGATTAGAAACCCCCAATTTTTCCTCGGACTGCCTCTAGGTTTGGTGTTAGGGTTTGTTTGTTCGATTTGGGATTTGAATAGTTCCGATGAGATTCGAACGAAACTGGGGTGTGATTTGGGACTGGGGAGGTCTAGTGGTCAACATGTGTAAGTTTGGGGGCAATTGGGTAAACTAGGTTTTTTGGTCAGATTTTTCGATCTAAGATTCGAAGAGCTTTGTCATGATTCGAGGTTAAAGGGGTATGGATTCGGAAAGAGGAAGGCATGGAGGTTCAGCGGTGTTATTTGGGTGGCCGACGGCGTTGTTGCCGCCGGGTTTCTGGCGAAGGTGTAGGGTGGTGGCTCTAGGGTTTCGAGGGGTCGTTTGGTCTGTGGTTTAGGAGACGAAGAAGAGGGGTCGGGAAATGGGGGGTAAGGGGTTTAGGAGTTTGGTATATTGAGATGGTGAGATTAATGTGGTCTGTTGGATCAATGAAGATTGACGGTCCAGATTAGATCAGGGGGGCAAACTGGGCTGGTGATTGGACTGGGTAAAGGGGTGAAATTTGGGCCTGGTTTTGGTCAAAATAAAATGGCCCAGTTTCGATTTCTTTGGATTTTTCATTTCTTCCTTTTCTTTTAACTTCTTTATAATTCCTAATTACCAAAAATTAAATTCCAAAAAATCTTAAATTAAATTATAGAACTTAAATTAACTTGTTAAAAATACAAATTAACTTCTATTACAACTATTAACACAATTAAACATCAATTACAAACAAAATCACACAATTGGACTAAAATACATATTTTCTGTGATTTTCGTTCTTTTAAAAACCAAATATGGTTCAATTAATTCCTAATTGCAAAATTAAATCCTAAATGTGCATGCAACATATATTTTATATTTTTCCTTTAATAAAATGAAGACAAACATGCACAGACAAATACAGATAATTAACAACATGCCACAAAAAAAACTCTCAAAATTTTGTGTAAAGGAAAAATTATTTTATCTTGATTTCTTTTGGTGTAGTTCTTTGTGAAGAAAAAATCACGTGCTCACAGTATCGGTTGGTTCGGGTTTGGATGTAGTTTCGGAGTGTTATGAGACACTTAGTCTCATAAGTTGGCCTTTTAGCTGAAAAATCAACCAGAAGTTGACTTATGTGTAAACGATCTCGGAATTTGATTTTTATGGTTCGGATAACTTCGTTAGGTAATTTGGGACTTAGGAGCATGTTTGGAATGTAATTTGGAGGTTCGTGATAGATTTAGGCTTGAATTGGAATTTTGGCATTTTTCGGTTGGTAGTGAAAATTTCGATATCGGGGTCGAAATGGAATTACAGAAATTGAAGTAGGTCCGTTGTATCATTTATGACGTGTGTGCAAAATTTCAGGTCATTCGGACGAGGTTTGGTAGACTTTTTGATCATTTGCGGGATGTGAAAGTTTTGGAAACCTTAGGTGTGAATTCGAGGGTGTTTTGATGATTCGATGTTGTTTTGAGTGTTCTGCAGATTGGTATAAGTTTGAATAGTGGAATATGACTTGTTCGTACTTTTGGCTGAGGTCCCGAGGGCCTCGGGGTAATTTCGGATGGTTATCGGAAAGTTGAAAGTTAGAGTTTGCAGCTGAACCTACTGAGTTCCTGTCATAACCGCACCTACGGATTGGGGACCGCAGGTGCGAGATCGCAGAAGCGTTAGATCAGCCGTAGATGCAGCCATATGTGAGAAGGCCAGAAGTCGCAGGTGCGGGAGGTGTAACGCACCTACGAGACCGAAAGTGCGGATAGATGGGCGCAGGTGCGGTCCCAGGACATTAAGTGGAAACTGCAGATGTGGTGGGTTAGACCGCAGAAGCGTGAAAAGGACCGCAGGTGCAGAATCCCTGAGTTAGAAAGTATATAAGTTCCCCTTCGCGAATTTGGGTTGTTTTCCACTATTTTTATCCGGAGTTTTAAGTTTTTTGGAGGGTTTTGAAGAGGGAATCAAGAGGGTTTCCATTGAGGTGAGTTTCTTGAATCTAAAACTCAATTCTATGTTGATTTTTAGTTGTTTAAGCATGAAATTTATGAGATTAAGGACGAAAAATTGGGAAAGTTAGGGCTTAAAATTGGAGAGGTAAAATTGGGGATTTGAGGGACCAATTGAGGTCCGATTTTGATGTTCTTAGTATGTATAGACTCGTGGGAGGATAAAGATTCTATTGATGTAATTTTAATCGGATTTAGAGACGTGGTCCCAGGGTCGGGTTTGACCAATTTTGGAATTCTTGATGTAATTTGATTATTTTCGCATGGGCTTCGTTCCCTTAGCATTTATTGATGTTATGATTATGATTTTGGATAGATTCGACACGAGTTGAGGCCGAGTCGAGAGGAAAGGGCATCGCGTAGTAGTATTTCATCCGGTTTGAGGTAAGTAACGATTGTAAATCTAGACCTGAGAGTATGAAACCCCGAAATTTCGTAATGTTTTGATAAATGAGATGAGACACATGCTAGGTGACGGGCGTGTGGGCATGAACCCGCAGGGATTGTGACTTGGTCTGTCCTGTGGCGACTGTATAGTTGCATATTTTGATATGTTGTATATGATATCCATGTGTTTTAGAAATTGGCTTGTTAACTTGGGCTGAATGCCATGTTTGGGGCCTTTGTGCCGACCAGTTTAAACCCTTAGGGGTATTTTATTACTTCCCTTACACTAATTCGATTTAAAAGCATATCCTCACTCATGTTTTACCTGTTTATTGTTTAATCTGATTTCATCACTTTACTTCTTAATATATGAAAAATATTTGGGTTGGGTTTCCCTGATTTTTACTGATATGCCCGAGTGGCCGTGAGGTTAATGACTGAGAGAGGTTAAGGACCTAATGGTGAGGATTTTATATATATATATATATATATATATATATATTTATATGTGTGTGTGTGTGTGTGTGTTATGGATCGGGCTGCACGCCGCATCGATATTTATATGGATCGGGCTACACGCCACAATGATATGATGCTTGGGCTGTAGAAGCCCCTCCGGAGTTTGTACACCCCTAGTGAGCATAGTCGACTATATATTATGGATCGGGTTGCACGCCGCATTGGTTATTATTATTATTATTATTATTATTATTATTATTATTATTATTATTATTATTATTATTATTATGAGATATCTATTGAGCTGGAGTGTTGAGTATGAGTACTGATTGATGAGAGATGAGTCACGAGTGACTGAGAGGCTTGCCCGAGAGGCTATACTTATGAGTGATACCTTGCCCATGGGGCTTGTTTATGACATTTTGCTGCTTTCACTCTTCTTTTATACTAAGCCTCTATTGAAAAATGTTGAATAAATGACTTAAAGGATTTTAATTGAAACTGGAGTTTTACGAGATAATTGGTTATTGAACTGCAGATTTTTGATTTGATATTTCTATGGAGATTTCTTGATAAGTATGCAAGTGATTTTAAAATGCTCGTCACTGCACTCAGACTTTATTTACTTTAGTTACATACTGAGTTGGTGTACTCACGTTACCCCTTGCACCTTGTGTGCAAATCCAGGTGCCCGAGCATCAGAGTGAGAGCTTCCAGCACTCTCAGAGTCTTATCCGGAGATCGCAAGGTAGCTGCACGACGTTCGCAGCCCTGCCTTTCTCCTTCCTATCTTAGTACTTTGTATTTCAGACTTATTTTGTATTAATTAGATAATGTTGGATTGTACTTAGAGACTCATGACTAGTGACACCANATTTTCTTTCGAGTCTATTTTTATGTGATTTTTTCATCTGGGTGTGAATTTTTCTTTCGGTGGACAGTTGAGTTTCTGATCAATTATTAGCTTTGTATGTTGATTTAAAGCTGAAAATTATTTTCATACAACACTTATGTTATTTGATTTTGAAATCGAATGTATAAAATTTCTTTCCTCATTGCTTTGGAATTGAATATCGAGGCATTAGTCGAAACCCCAAATCTGCTTTCTGTTATTGCTTCCCTTGCTCGCAGGCAGCTTCATCAATTGATATTTCTGGTGAAGCTGCTCCCTCGACTGAATGTCGCACTCTGGCTTTGCAACTTAGTCTATGCTCTTCGCATTTAATGAAAATTTTCACTCTTTTATGTGGTTTTTTTGTACATTTTTCTTTATATATAGCAGGGATTTGCATATTAACGCGGTCGACCCCTATGCCATAATTTCTCAAAACGAGGAGGCCATAGATAAATTTGACATTAGTGATTCCGCTGGCAAACCTCGAGGGTCGAATGTAGGTGACAATGCTTGGGAAAAGGGAACATAAGGAAATCAAAGAATTCAATGGAGCTCATTGTCTCATATTTTGGGGGATAAAGAAAGATGAAGTGGTTTAATGCCATGGGCAGCTGCAAAGAGACTTTCCACTTCAAAAGCTGCTAAAGCTTTTGATCACTAAAATTCTGCAAAAATCTCGACTAAATATAGAAAAGATCGAATTCCAATTTTTATCAAAAAGAAACTGAAGATCTAATGCTTCAACTACATAGTTCAACTCATTAAAGAAATGGAGCAAGATAAAAGCACTGCAAGTGTTCCATCCATTTAGAAACGTCAGAGAAAGTAGTTTGTAATTATTCTGAACAGAAAGCTGTTGTTGCTTATTAAAGATACTACCACCTGGGAACTTTCATTGGTGACATACGATCACATGTTACCCTAGGAGTATCAATTATTTGCTTTTTCATTATTGTATCTTCTATCATCTGGCTAAAGAATAAGACAATTCCATAAAGATGGCGTTAAACCTTTGAACAATTTAATGAAGTTCTGGATCTTAATACCTGATGGTTACTGTATTCGAGAGCTTTTCCAGTCTTTCATGACAGTGCCTTCCAATTTTTACGTTCTTTTATCTGTTATTCTGTTCAACATGTAGATCTTCTGTATGCATACTTTTGTGATCCTATATATCACAATAGTCTTGAAGCAATACTTTCACAAGATGTAACAAGATTGAACATTTCTCATTTTACAGGCAGAGGTAAATCATAAACTCAGCAATTCAAAGAAAGCAATGACGAAAGTTGCTCCATTATGAAGTCACGAGGACCTTACAAGAAAATTCAAGGTGACTACTGACTTTCGAGATTCTTTAAATTCTTCATCATTACGGTACAAAATTATTTTGTTTAGATAGGTTATTGGAAGTGTATCTTGAAAATCAATACTGATTAGCTTATATCCACAATTATGAAAGTTATATTAATTTTAAGATTTGAAGTACGGATAACAATCCCTTTTTGTCAAAACAAAAACTATTGATAAGAATATTGAGAAGAACTGTTGGATAAGTGAATTGGAGAGCGAAGATATAAGAAATAGAATATAATAATCTCTATTTAAATATGTGATGTGCTTTATAAAGCTTTATAAAGTATATTCATTATAATGTTTCATTTTTCTTCTATACTTGGCCAGTGTCTCCTGTCACGCCCCGAACCTGAGCCTAGATGTAACACGACACTCGGTGCCTAACTACATGTGACCGAGCGAACCAAGTGGCTGGCTGAATCAACATGTGATATCATAACATACTGAATGCGGAAGATAAACTAACACATGCTGATATACTGAAAGTCTGGATGATATAAATCAAAGTGCGGAAATACTAAAACAAGTCTGAAACATATATGTAGCCAACATTGCTTAACATGAAAGGCCTGAGACTCTGTCTAACTGTTACTCTAGTCTATGAAACCTCTAATGAAGTATTAAAAACACTGACTGTCTGAAAATACTGAAAACTGTAAGGTAATGATAATGCCTCGGAAGAACTGGGGATCACCAAGTAGCTGGTACGAGAATCCTAGCGCTCTGAATCATCAACCTGTAAATTATTACCTGCATTGTGAGATGCAGGCTCCGGGCAAAAGGGACGTCAGTACATTTGAATTGCACAGGTATGTAAAACAACTAAAAGAAAGAATTATAAATGCTGAAACTAAAACTAAGCTGATAACTGAGAATTGATAATTGATAACTGAAATGATAACTATTGAAACTGAAACTGAAATGATAACTGATAACTGATAACGGATAACTGAACTGATAACTGGTAACTGATAACTGAAATGATAAAGGAAGTAAGGATATGAATACTTCCTCTTCTGAATGATGAACAACCTGTTTATCTGAATAAGCTACGACCTCGGGCCCAATATATATGTGCACAAGCTACGGCCTCAGGCCCAAGTATACGTATACATAACTACGGCCTCAGGCCCAAAATGCATAAAACATAAACTATGGCCTCAGGCCCAAACATGCATAAAGCATAAACTACGGCCTCAAGCCCAAATACAGGTGTTCGACATTCAGGGATTTGAAATCAGGAACTGAGAATCATATTGCAATATATGATAGTGAAATACTGAATCACACTGATTTACATGATACTGAAATACTGAATAGGACTAGGCTGAGACATGTATTCTTGAACTGATTATGAATACTGAAACTTCAACTATTTATGGCATACTGAGTAATCTATACTAAGACTCGGGGGCATCAAACCCAAGTCTATATTGAATACGCACTGAGCTCACGACATTCAGAATGAAAGTCATGAACGAGTTACGAAGCTAGAGAATAGAAGCTCTGCAACTATTCAAGGAAACTAGGCTTAACTATATTTCTGAGGTAATTGGTAACATGGTAAAAGAAACATAGTGTAGGGAGAATCTTTAACATTCCCAAACATAGAAAGTTAGCCTCACATACCTTAACTTCCTGCTCTTGAGCGTAATGCAACGTTCGCCAACCCTTTCAACTTTAATCTATATCAATACAAGTCAAAGAGATTCCATATTAGTAATAATACTCATGTTTTGATTACTTAGGCATTTTCTCAAACACTTGATGGCATAATGCTTCATGGTCCTTATTAATGGTGTCTCTACACCCAATAACACATTTTGTTGTTCCTAATAAATTCTAAAGTCTCAAATGGTTACAATCAACATCATTCTTTATCACCCATAATGTAAACAATACCTTTAACCAATAATCAACAATCAACAACCAAACCTATAATCCGTTCATGCTTTTCTATCAAACCCATTAACTCATATCTCATGAACTAGAGTCTATAATCATTAATCCAATGCTAGAATCAATTAGAGGGTGAATGTATTACCTTCTTGACGTTCAATCTTCTTGAATTCGAGTTCTAGGGTTCCTTCTCTCAACAATGATGCCCCAATCAAATATCTAATGATTTGGAGGGTTTACCCATGTTAATAAGATGTTGGGGAATTGAAATTAACTTAGAATCACCATTAGAACTTACCTTGGGTGGTGGAAGGACCCTTAAGGAGTTAGGTTTTTGAGAGTTCCCCTTTCTTGAGCAAGTTTTTATGTTTTGGGGCTGTGGGGGACGAAATATGGCTTTAAAACGATCCCCCACGAGCGCGTCCGCACACCTGAAGACCTTACCGCGCTACTGACCGCGTAAAACGGCAGTAACACTGCCTCAAAACAAGCGTGGCCGAGCTAGGGGCGCGCGCTACAGGGCGCGCACATCACATACTGTTTTGTAAAACGTGCATAACTTTTTGCACAGAGATCCGATCGGGCTCTATAATATATCGTTGGAAAGCTATTTCAAAGGCCTACAACTTTCGTGTTTTGAGTTTTCCTAAATGCTTTACACATTTTCACTAAAACCTGATGGAAGACAAACCTTCTGCAAACTTAGTCGATTTTGTCAAATCTTATGCGCCTTACTTTCCATCTTGATTTTGAAACAACTATTTTCACCCATAATCATCCCGATGGGACTTCACATGTTCAAAATATAACCTTACTACTCTTTAACTCATTCATACCTAAGCCGAATTTACGGGGTGTTACATCTCCCTACTTTAAATTTTGTTATTTCATCTTCGTCAGCATATACTAATTTCTTTTGTTGAAATTCATAAACAGGAGGAGATGGACAAGAAGTGCAAGACCTCACCAGGTCTTTATGCATGAGTCTTGGTGAAGTTATTTCTCATACTCCCGTGCACCAGGTATGTTTCAACTTCAAAGCTGCACTGGATTGCTTTGATACTGCAGTAGAATGTGCAAATTTTTTATGGTAGATAGGGACCTTCCACATGTTAGAAATTGAGCTACACAGACATTTTGTATTGAGAAAGTTATAATGCTTCACCTGATTTTATTCCCAAACTCAACCCTCTACTCCGTATTATAAAATGCTCCATATTTTAGTGATTATAATATTCTGTGCACTATCTTTTTTGAACTTTTTAATGAAGACGTAAGCAAATAAGTAATAAAGACAAAAATATTTTTTTTTACTAAGTCTTCACCAGCCAAAAGCATTGGGGTATATGGGGGTATTGATATACAAAATGTAAAACAAAACTGCCTTCTTTTCTTATTGATGTGTGCATTTAGAATATATTGCAGAGGGAACCTTATAGTTGTTTATGATGTCATTGGAAAATTGTAAAATACTGTTGGGATTGACGGATAAATCAGGTACAGTTAATACCTTACTTCACTGTTTGTGTTCTCTTATCTTTCTATATGTTAGTGACTTTTTTAATAATGATCACAGGTACTTTTTCGTAATGCTTTTGCCTATTAAAAAATATTAGGCTTCTAATACCTAATTGTTCTTTATTATTCATTTACTGGTAATTATATCCTGATCTTAAGTTTGAAAACTTGCAGCAGCTTTCACATTTACACAAAGATCTTTCTTCCCTACTAGAGTGCTTTACATCAATAGCTCAGGTAGTTCCTTTTTTTTGTTGACAAAATAAGCCTTTTCATTAATAAGCATTCCGAGAATGCAAAGCAAAATAGAAGTAAGAATGTCTCTAATTAAAAATAAGGGTAATACTATCGAATTGACCTTCGCAGCAAGGTGGTAACTTAGACAGATGCAGTGTGCCACTTACAGAGTATCAAAGTAGAGTAGCACACTGGTATACTAATAATACCGATGTTTAAGATGAGTTATAATATTTTTATAAGGAATTTTTTGCACTTTGTCTTTCGGATATGTTTACTTTCTGATGAAAGAAACTTATCCTGAGGGCATTGTTTACTTTTTTTTGCACTTTGTCTTTCGTGTATTATATGTAAATAGGACGATAAATATATTGTCCAGCTTTAATGTCAAAAGATGCATATAGAATGTGGTGCAGATAAATGTTGTCTTTAATAAGCGTCCATTTATTATCTTTTACTTTTAGGGGAACTAATTTCTAAGAGAACTCATCTTCGTCCCTCTTTTAAGGTGTTCTTTGATGTGACATTGCGGCTATGCAGGTACCCTGTTTGCTGGAGGTTGTATTGCAATATGCCAGGTATGATGACCCGAAAGGTCATGTTGTGTTTTAGAACCCAATTTGGGGTTCCGAGGCTTTCAAAACCTCATCTTATTTCTCCTTGATTTGCGTGCACAGTCCGAGCGCATTTTCGAAAAGCCTTTATGTGAAAATTTGAGAAAAATATTATTTTTGCCTTTAAAAGTTAATTTTAGTTGACCTCGATCAATATTTTGAGTAAACGGACCCGGACTCGTATTCTGACGGCCTAGAGGGTCCGTAGTAAAATATGGAACCTGGGCATACCCGGAATCAAATTTCGAGGTCCTTAGCCCGAGAAATGAATTTTTGATGAAAATTATTAAACTGGAATGATAAAGGTTTTAAGAAATTGATTAATAAGTGATTTTGTTGATACCGGGTCCGTATTGTGGTTCCGGAGCCCGGTACATCTCCATTATGATATTTATACTCTATCTATGAAATTTGGTGAGGAATGAGACTAATTTGACGTGATTTGGACCTTTGGGTGAGAAAATAGAACTTTTGAACTTTCTTGAAATTTTCATGTAATTTGATGCTAAATTCGTAGTTCTAGGTATTATTTTGACGATTTGATCACGCGAGCAAGTTCGTATGATATTTTAAGACTTGTGTGCATGTTTGGTTTGGAGCCCCGAGGGCTCGGGTGAGTTTCGGATAGGCTACAGGGTGATTTGCACTTAGAAATCTGGTGTGTTTTGCTGCAGTTAGTGTTTTTGGTTTTTCTTCTTCGCGTTCACGAAGATACTCTCACGAATGCGAAGTGTAACCTGGCTTGGGGAGGGGATTGTTCATCGCGAACACATAGCCATGGTCGCGAACGCGACCAGCATTACACGAACGCGTACAGTAAAATGGAGGTAGGCTGGGGAATCATTGAGTTGCTCTTCGCGAACACAGTCCTAGCCCTGGAACGCGATGGTCAGGGGGACAGACCATCATGAACGCGAGCAGCTCTTCGCGAACGCGAAGGCCCTTCTGGCCGCAATGCATCATGAACGCGATGAAGACCTGTCCAGTGTTTTAAAAACAGAACCAAAAACGGGATTAGGCCATTCATCCATATTTTCAAAAACTAGAAGGTTTAGAGGTGATTTTCAAGAGACAAATTCTTCCCCAAAGTGTTGGTAGAAATTGAGTGTTGGGGTAGAATTAGAGATTTTTGTATAATTGAAATTTAGACCTCGATTTGGGGTCGGATTCCAAATCTAATTACATATTTGGGCTCGGGGATGAATGGGTGAATGAGTTTTGGTCCGAACCTCGAATTTTCACCAAGCGGGCCCGAGGTCGGTTTTTGACTTTTTGGGAAAAATGTTGGGAAGCTTGTAATTGTGCATTGGGATTGCTTTCTTTAGCGATAATTGATATTATAAAGTTAATTATGACTAGATACGAGTGGTTCAGAGGTGGAAACTAAGGGAAAACAGTGATAGAGGCTTGAGTTCGGTCGTGGAATCGAGGTAAGTGTTGTGGCTAACCTTAGCTTGAGGGATTAAGTGTTGTTGCCTTATTTGCTATGTGTTTGGTTGTTGAGTACGACATATAGGTGAGGTGAGGAGTACGTATACGTTGTCATCGAGTCATAGCATGCGAGTGAGTCTATTACTTGTGACTGTTGTATTCTTTATTTGTACTGTTCATGCTTAAACTGGTTATTCTTCATGTTAAACAAATCTTATCATGTTTTTCGTGGAATTAGATATTGGTTGAGTATTGACTAAAGTTGAGATTTATATTGTGAAAGTTAAATATTGAAACGAGGTTGGTTATTGATAATTCCATTGTCGGGTTGTTATTGTTCTGTTGTTTGGGTGAGGAAGAGTGTAAAACACGAAGGGTGATACTGTGCAATGTATTGTGAGTGATAATGCACGATGGGTGATGCCGTGCCATATTCTGTGAGTGATAATGCTCGAAGGGCGATGCCGTGCCGTATTTTATGAGAGAGTTAATGCACGAAGGGCGATGTCATGCCATGTTATGAGCGAGCTAATGCACGAAGGGTGATGTCATGCCGTTTCTGTTGCTTCTTATGGTGAGAATGATAGTAAAAACACGAAGGGTGATGCCACACACTTGTTTGCCGTTTTATTACTTTCATAGGTGTAAGGCATGTTATTTACTGCGTTTCTTTATTGTACTATTTCAAGAATTGATATTCCCCTCAGCATGTTTCTCCACCTTCCCGTTAATATCTGTTAAATTTCCATTTGTTGTTATCTTCTCATATATGATTTAACTGCACAAGTTCATGTTATTGTCGTGTCCTAGCCTTGTCTTTACTTCACCGAGGTTAGGCTAGACACTTACCAGTACATGGGGTCGGTTGTACGGATACTGTACCCTGCATTTTTTGTGCAGATTCTGGTATTGGACCGCATTGATTAGAGTTGGTTCGCTGCCTTCAGTCCATAGGAGACCCAAGGTAGATTTGCCGGCGTTCGCAAACCCTTGAGTCCTCTTCCAGTTATCCTAGTTTCCCTGTTTTCTTTTATTTCGAGAACAAATGTATTTTCTTAAAACTAGTATTTGTAGTGACTCTTAGAAGTTCGTGGATTGCGAGAGCAGATTTTTGGATAATCGTGCAGTAATTTTTGAATTATTATAAATTTTTTGCTCTTCTTCACTTCGTTTTGGCTTAATTATTGTTATTTACTGTTTTGGATAGCGGTTAGCATATTAGATCTTTATGTGTTGGATTGCCTAGCATTTCGAAGAGTTAGGCGCCATCACGATCCTGACGGTAGGGATATCCAGGTCGTGACAAGTTGGTATCAGAGTACTAAGTTGTATAGGTTTCACAATTCACGAACAAGCTAGGTAGAGTCCGAGGGATCGGTATGGAGACGTCTGTGCTTATCCGTTAGAAGTTATAGAGCTTAGGAACAACTTCACTTCTATTCTTCTCTGTCGTGCGATTTGATTTCTCAATGCTAATCGAACTTTATACTCTTGTTCTTTTGCAGGTGGCGAGAACACGTACCTCTTTATCAACTGATCAGTAGCTCAAGCCCCCAGTGGAAGCTCCTACGAGGGGCAGAGGCTGAGGCCGTGCCAGAGGCCGAGGTAGGGGCAGGGCTCAGGCTAGAGCTCGAGCAGCAACACCAGTAACGGAGCCTCAGGTGGAGTTCCATGATGAGGTTCCGGGTCAGACCATTCCGGCAGGGCCAGCTCAGGTTCCCGAGGGGTTCATCGCCACCTCGGTACTTCAGGATGCTTTGGTCCGTCTAGTGCCTTATGGAGAGCGTAGCTCAGACTGGCACATTTCCTGTAGCACCAGCAGTCTCTCAGGCTGAGGGAGGATCTAGACTCTCGCTACCCACACTTCGGAGCAGATGGTTCCTCAGTTTCAGACTCCGACAACTCAACCAGCTATTGCGGCATAGGCCGCTGGTGGATCAGTCATGTCTTCTGAGGCTTTGTTGAGGTTGGACAAGTTCACCAAGCTTTTCCCGGTTCATTACAGTGGGGCAGCTTCTGAGGACCCACAAGATTATCTTGACCGCTGCCATGATGTATTGCGGAACATGGGGATAGTGGAGACTAATAGAGTCAACTTTTCTGTATTCCAGATGATAAGGTCCGCCAAGAGATGGTGGAATGATTTTTTGTTGACTAGACTAGCTGGGTCGCCTGCCTTGACTTGAGACCAGTTCTTTCAGCTATTTCTCGAGAAGTTCCTTCTTGTTACGCAGAGACAGGACTATCGTAGGCGGTTCGAGCATCTTCAGTAGAGTTCTATGACTGTCACTCAGTACGAGATTAGGTTTGTTGATTTGGCCCGTCATGCTCTTCTTATACTTCTTACCGAGAGAGGGTGAAGATGTTTATTGAGGGACTCGCTCAGCCTATCAGATTGCAGATGGCTAAGGAGATAGAGAGCGAGATTTCTTTCCAGGATGCGGCCAATGTGACCAGGCGAGTTGAGATGGTTTTAGCTCAGGGAAGTGGTCAGGGTTCTGACAAGAGGCCTCGTCATTCTAATAGGTTTAGTGGTGCCTCATCTTGAGGTAGGGATTCTTTTGGTAGATGCCATCCTCTTAGGCCGTTTCATTCAGCACTTCAGGCTTTTCACGATGCTTTAAGTGGCCATGGCTCTCATATGCAGTATTCTGATCAGCTAGCCTACAGTGCACCATCAGCTCCTATCAGTGCACCTCCGCTCAAGAGTTTTCAGGGTGGTTATCCAGGTCGTCAAGGTCAGTTTCAGGGTCAGCAGCCTCAGCAGCTGAGGTCTTGTTATACTTGTGGCGATCCGAGGCATATTTCTAGGTATTGCCCTCGAACATCGAGCAGTTCTCAACATTAGGGTTCTCGTTCCATGGTCCCGGCACCGGGTGTTCCACCGCCTGCTCAATTAGGTAGAGGTAGGGGTCAAACATGTAGAGGTAGAGGTCGAGGTATTAAAGGTGAAGGTCAGACCGCTAGAGGTGGGGGCCAGCCAGCAGGAGGCCGTCCCATGGATGTAGTTCAGAGTGGTGGGGCCCATCCCCGATGTTATGCTTTTCCAGCCAGGCCTGAGGCTGAGGCATCCGATGCCGTTATCACAGGTACGGTTTCAGTTTGCAGTAGGGATGCCTCAGTATTATTTGACCTGGGATCTACTTATTCGTATGTATCATCTTACTTTGCTTCATGTTTGGTTGTGCCTCGTGATTCTTTTAGTGCTCCTGTGTATGTGTCCACACCGGTTTGTGATTCTATTATTGTAGATCGTGTCTATCGCTCATGTATGGTTATTATTGGGGGATCTTGAGACCAGCGTAGATCTCCTACTTCTCGATATGGTTGACTTCAATGTTATTTTGGGGATGGATTGGCTGTCACCTTATCATGCTATATTAGACTGTCATGCCAAGAATGTGACCTTAGCCTTGTCGGGGTTGCCTCGATTGGAGTGGAGGACTCTTGGTCATTTTACCAGTAGGATTATTCTTATGTGAAGGCTTGGCGTATGGTCGAGAAGGGGTGTCTGGTTTATTTGGCTTATGTTCGTGATTCCAGTGCGGAGGTTCCTTCCATGAATTTCGTACCAATTGTTCGTGAGTTTTCAGAGGTATTTCTTGCAGACCTGCCGGGGATGCCGCCCGACTGGAATATTGACTTTTGCATTAATTTGGCTTCGGGCACTCAACCTATTTCTATTCCGTCATACCGTATGACCCCGCCAGAGTTGAAAGAATTGAAGGAGAAATTGCAATATTTGCTTGATAAGGGCTTCATTAGGCCTAGCGTATTGCCTTGGGGTGCACCAGTGTTGTTTGTAAAGAAAAAGGATGGATCGAGTGGGAGAGGTGACCTATAAACTTGCGTTGCCACCAGGTTTATCAGTAGTACACCTAGCGTTTCATGTGTCCAAGCTTCAGAAGTATTATGGCGATCCATCCCACGTGTTAGATTTAAGCACTGTCCAACTGGACAAGGATTTGACCTATGAGTAGGGGTGTTCGTCGGTCGATACAGTATGATATTTAAACATTTCGGTTTGGTATTTTCGGTATTCGGTTTCTTAAAATCCTATACCAATACCGTGCCTAATTAAATTTGGTATGGTTTGGTTTTTCTCCTTTCGGTTTCGATTTATTCGGTTCGGTAACTTCGGTTTATTCGGTTTGAATACTAACTAGTGCATAGAGCTATAAACTCTAATATTCTTAATTAAAATACTCAAAAATACAAAACTGAAAATGTTTGTTGACAAAATTTTGTCCAAAACTAGTAAATATCGACCCAAATTGAGAAAATTGTACATAAAAGAATATTTTATCATTAGAAACGTCTTGTTACTTGTTTAGAGTTAATTGATGAACTTAGAGAATAGAGGAAAGTAAAATTTTAGATTTTTAATATTTGTGTTATAATTGATAATATATGTTTTGTGTAATATAATATATATTTCGGTACGGTATCGGTATTTTGGTATTTTATTTTTAAATACTAAATACCATACCTAATACCATTTTTTTTAAAAACATAAACCAAATACCATACAAAATACCGTATACCAAATACCAAAATTTTCGGTTTCGGCATGGTAATTCGGTATTTACCAAATTATGCACAACCTTACCTACGAGGAGGAGCAGGTAGCTATTCTAGACCGGCAGGTTCGTTAGTTGAGGTTGAAGAGTTATCCTTCGGTTCGTGTGCAGTGGAGAGGTCAGCCTGTTGAGGCAACCATCTGGGAGTCTGAGTCCGACATGCAGTGCAGATATCCCCATCTTTTCCCTAGCTCAGGTACTTTTCTATGTCCGTTCGAGGACGAATAGTTGTTTTAGAGGTGGAGAATGTGATTACCCGAAAGGTCATGACCCGAAAGGTCATCTTGTATTTTAGAACCCAATTCGGGGTTCTACGGTCTTCAAAACCTCATCTTAATTCTCCTCGATTTGTGGGCGCAGTCCGGGCGCGTTTCTGGAAAGCCTTTATGTAAATTTGAGGAAAATATTATTTTTGCCTTTAAAAGTTAAGTTTAGTTGACTTTGGTCAACATTTTGAGTAAACGGACATGGACTCATGTTCTGACGGTCCCGGAGGATTCGTAGTAAAATATGAGACCTAGACGTATGCCCGAAATTAAATTCTGAGGTCCCTAGCTTGAGAAATAAAATTGTGATGATAATTGTTAAATTGGAATTATAAAGGTTTTAAGAAATTGATTAATAAGTGATTTTGTTGATATCGGGTCTGTATTGTATTTTCGGAGTCTGGTACAGGTCCGTTATGATATTTATACCCTATATGTGAAATTTGATGAGGAACGGGATTGATTTGACGTGATTTGGACCTTTGTTGAGAAAATAAAACTTTTGAACTTTCTTGAAAATTTCATGCAATTTGATTGCTAAATTCGTCGTTCTAGCTGTTATTTTGGCGATTTGATGACGCGAGCAAGTTTGTATGATGTTTTAAGACTTGTGTGCATGTTTTGTGTTGAGCCCCAAGAGTTCGGTGAGTCGGATAGGCTACGGGGTGATTTGCACTTAGAAATCTGGTGTGTTTTGCTGCAGTCAGTGTTTCTGGTTTTTCTTCTTCGCGTTCGCGAAGATACTCTCGCGAACGTGAAGTGTAACCTGGGCTAGGGAGGTGATTGTTCATCATGAGCACGTAGCCATGGTCGCGAACGCGGAGCACTGGGGGGCTGCTCTTCGCGAACGCGACCGGCATCGTACGAACGCGTGGAGTAAAATGGAGGTGGGTTGGGGAATCATTGAGTTGCTCTTCGCAAACGCGGTCCCAGGCCCGCGAACGTGATGGTCAGGGGGATAGACCATTGCGAATGCGAGCAGTTGTTCATGAATGCGAAGGCCCTTCTGGCCGCAATGCATCGTGAACACGACAGGTCCATCGCGAACGCGATGAAGACCTGTCCAGTGTTTTAAAAACAGAACAAAAAACGGGATTAGGCCATTTTTCCATATTTTCAAAAATTGGAAGGCTTAGAGGTGATTTTCAAGAGACAAATTCTTCTCCAAAGTGTTGGTAAATGATTCTAAACTACTTTCTTTCAATTATCCATTGCATTTCATCAATTTTCAACCTAAAATCTAGAGTTTTCATGGTAGAAATTTGGGGTTTGGGTAGAATTAGGGAGTTTTGTATAATTAAAATTTAGACCTCGATTTGGGGTCAGATTTTGAAACTAATTACATATTTGGGCTCGGGGATGAATGGATGAATGGGTTTTGGTTCGAACCTCGAGTTTTGACCAAGCGGGCCTAGGGTCGATTTTTGACTTTTTTGGGAAAAATGTTGGGAAACTTGTAATTGTGCATTGGGATTGATTTCTTTAGCGATAATTGATATTATTAAGTTAATTATGACTAGATACGAGTGGTTCGGAGGTGGAAACTAAGGGAAAAGCGGCGATTGAGGCTTGAGTTCGGCCGTGGAATCGAGGTAAGTGTTGTGGCTAACCTTAGCTTGAGGGATTAGATGTTGTTGCCTTATTTGCTATGTGTTTGGTTGTTGAGTACGACGTATAGGTGAGGTGAGGAGTACGTATACGTTGTCATCGAGTCATAGCATGCGAGTGAGTCTATTACTTGTGACTGTTGTATTCTTTATTCGTACTGTTCATGCTTAAACTGGATATTCTTCATGTTAAACAAATCTTATCATGTTTTTCCTGGAATTAGATATTGGTTGATTATTGACTTAAGTTGAGATTTATATTGTGAAGTTAATTATTGAAACGAGGTTGGTTATTGATGATTTCCTTGCCGGGTTATTATTGTTCTGTTGTTTGGGTGAGGAAGAGTGTAAATCACGAAGGGTGATGTCGTGCAATGTATTGTGAGTGAGTGATAATGCATGAAGGGTGATGTTGTGCCGTATTTTGTGAGTGATAATGCACAAAGGGTGATGCTGTGCCGTATTCTATGAGAGAGTTAATGCACGAAGGTTGATGCCGTGCCATGTTATGAGCGAGCTAATGTACGAAGGGTGATGCTGTGCCGTTTCTGTTGCTTTTTATGATTAGAATGCGAGTAAAAACACGAAAGGTGATGCCATGCACTTGTTTGCTGTGTTATTACTTTCATAGGTGTAAGGCATGTTATTTATTGCGTTTTTTACTATACTATTTCAAGAATTGATATTCCTCCGAGCATGTTTCTCCCCCTTCCCATTAATATATGCTAAATTTTCATTTGTTGTTATCTTCTCGTATATGATTTAAATGTACAGGTTCATGTTATTGTCGTGTCCTAGCCTTGTCACTACTTCACCGAGGTTAGGATCAACACTTATCAGTACATGTGGTCGTTTGTACTGATACTACACTCTGCACTTTCTGTGCAAATTCTGGTACTGGACTGCATTGACCAGGGTTGGGTTGGTGCCTTCAGTCCACATGATAGCCAATATAGATCTGCCGGCATTCGCAGACCCTAGAGTCCCCT